TTGAATCCATAGATTTAAATTTATATTTGTTATCTTTGTTGGTAGATCTAAATCATTAAAGATTAGAAGATTCAGGACAAAGATACTTTAGTATAATGTTGATTTTTTTGTAATGAATTTTATTTTTTTTTGCAAATCAGATTTAGATTCAAGATACAGATTTGGTTTTTTACTGTTTGGTCAATCAGCAAGGATTTTGTAAGTTTAAAAAAAACAGTAAAATTATGTGAAAACTAAGAAAAAAATTAATAAAAACCAAGATTAAAAGGTAATTTAATTTTTAAGTGTAATTTTTTTTAATCTATCCATTTCTTCGATTTCATAGAGAAAAATCGTAGCTACTACTCTTTAACCTTTTTGAATGGATTACGCAAAAATTTAGATTTAAATTGAATCAGATAGCTTTGAATCCATGTACCTACTTGTATTTATATTTGTTATCTTTGTTGGTAGATCTAAATATTTAAAAATTAAAAGATCCAGAGTAAAGAAGGTTACGTTAATTTTGATTTTTTCCATATTGAATCTTATTTTTTTCTGGAAAACTGGTTTAAAATTCAAAATACAGATTTGGTTAATTATTTGGTCAATCAGCGAAGATTTTGTTGGTCCTTATAAAAAACAATAAGAATATGTAGGAACTAAAAAAGAAAATTATTAAAAACCAAAAATGTAGATTCTATTTTAATTTTTTAATGTATTTTTTAAGAATCCATTTTCGTAAAGGAATTACTTTTAATATATTTGAATCAACAAATCTAGATCTAGATTAATTCATATAGCTTTGAATCTTTAGACGAAAATTCTTATTTGTTATCTTTGATAATAGATCTAGATCTTTAAAAAATAGCAAATCCAGAATTAAGATACTTTGGTATTATCTAGTTTTTTTTGTACTGAATCTTATTTTTTAAGTTACAGATTTGAGAAAATTACCGAAGATTTTATTGGTCTTAATAAAATTATGCAGAAATAAGAAAAAAATTATTAAAAACAAGATTTAAATTCTACTTTCTAATTTTCAAATTTTTATCTGTATTTTCTAAAAGGAAGAAAAAGCTTTATTTTTCTTTAGCTTTTTGAATGGATTACAAAAAAATCTAGATCTAGATTAAGTCAGATAGTTTTGAATCTATAGACTTTTAATTTTTTTATTTTTGTTTACTTTTTTAGTAGATCTAAATCTTTAGAGATCCAGAAATGAAATACTTTAATATCATCAAATTTTTTTTTATTTTAGATAGGCAAAAGTGTGGATTTTGGAAAAAAAAATCGACTTTTCTAGTTTTTGAATGAAAGGATACAAAAAGGGTTTTTGTGTGTAATGCGTTTATTGATTCGACATTTTGATATAAGTTACTGTTACACAATGGGTCTATTTGAGGGTTTCACAAACAAGTTTACCATAAAAAGCTGATAAATAAAATATTTCTCCGTCTCGTAAATATAACTAATGACTAGAACCTGACCTGACCACATTAATTAAAAAAACGACTCTACTAATCAATATAAAATTATTTTAACTACACTGTATATATACAAAATTTAATCCTAGCTACCAAGTGTATACTTGTCCATATAAAACCTAAACCTAAAATTATTGTGTTTTATTGTGATGATAAGAGTGGTACGATATGAACAAGTGATAAATGGGAAGTAAATACACGTGGTCCTCGATTTTTAAGAATTATAATGATACATATCTCCTGATTTGTTCACTCCTGTGTAAATCGGTTCATGAATGTTCGTTTTGATTGGTTCGGCTTGCTTGCATTTAAACCTCGTGATGTAGGGGTTTTGGGGGTGGAACAGCTTGACTCCATTATGGTGAGTCGGGAGGGTTGTATGTTGGCGGGGGTAAACATTGCAACTGTTACCGGCGACTAGATTCTGCCCGTTGGGGATCCCCCCATGTTGGGGTAGCGGCATCGTGGAGCAATGTGCAAAAACGCTCTGCATCGGCTGTGTTGGGAAATGCGGCAACGTCGCAGACGACGCTTGCACACTCCCCAAATCGGTCTTCTCCATGAAGGAGGTCATGCGCATGTTCGTCGCCCTCCCAAACGGCTCCTCCTTCACTCCAACCCCCTGGACGACATCTGCAGGGATGGGGCGTGTGACCTTCCTCCTAATCACCACGGTGCTCTCTGCCGGGTTTTCAAGGATTATTCTTTGACTGGGGGGAGGACTTGTGCTGGTGGGATTGGGGGTGTTGCGTTGGAGGGAGGAGGATTTCCATTGGATTTCCTCCCGATTTTGGACAAGATCAACGACGCTTGTTGCGCGACGAGTGGTTTTGTGGTCGCTGTCGTTGGAATGGACGCCACTGGAGGTCTCGCTGTGATTGCTACCGGGGGGTTCGGGAGGGGAGGTTGAGCTTTCGGTGCTGAGGGTGTCGGAACGGGGGGTGAGCTCGTCGTGGGGCATGCCGGAATCGGCGCGACGGAGGCAACGGGGGGTTTGGCCGGTGGTGATCTGAAATTAATTTATGATTCGGATTCAGGTTGGGCTTCAATAATGCCCACATCTAGATTTGAAGATTTGAAGCTCTTAAAATCCAAAGCTAGAACTAGATTTGGATGTTGAAAAAAATGGATTCTAGACTCAAAAGTAAGAATAAGTTGCTTAGATTTAGAACCAAATCTACTTGAATCGGAAGATTTCGACTTAGAAATAAAAATCTACTACTAGACAGGATCGAAAATGACAATTTATTTTTGTGTTTTTCAGCTTGAAACAATTATTTCGCAAAATTTCGTTAAAAACAAAACAAAAAACAAAAAATTAAAAAAGTAA